TTTTTTTCATTTTCACCAGATTTTCACTGTCTTTTTTTAAAAATAGTTTTGTACAGTTTTGTTTTTTACAGTGTAGTCCCACATGCAGTTCTTATAGCAGTATGGGCAGGTTCAGTAAGGTTTCTTTCTTTGTTTTTGCTTAAATACGCTGCGCTGTCATGACCTTCACCGTCTGGTACTTCTGAATCAGGCTCCGGCTTTGAATAGTTGTTCCAGACTTGCTCATACATTTTAAGTGCCTGTTGAATATCTTTTCATTCTTTACCCTGCTCTTGTCAATCTTGAGTAGTTCTGTAGCACATATTCTTTATTAAACCAGGAAAACGCTCATGGAGACTAAGAATCTCTTTCACAAGCAGCACACTTCAACAGGATACAGACTTAAAAACTATTTCACAAATGTTCAGAGTGAATGACAGTGTCGTAAAATTGCAAAAATCGATGTCACGAATCATCGGTGATGAGGATCAATCCGGGCTATTAGAAGTCAGTCATAACATCTGAGTGTATCTGCCTCCAATTAGTGTAAAGCTGCTTTGAATTAATTCAGTGAGAACAGCTCTTTTGCAACTGATGTCAAGTAAAGGAGGCAGCGTACTTAAATGCCCTTTTACCCGATTCACACTGTGCTCTGTGAACAGATTGTACGAATCAGTTCTGGGAGCAAAAACAACTGTTTCTCAGACTTTTTCTGATGGAAGCAGATCAGCAGATATCAAGGAAGCAGGCCAAGAAGATCTTTATAAGGTAGTTTATGAGTGAACAAGGCAGATTGTCCAATTTGAGCCTATGACGTGCTGGGAAGATGTTTAATATTTGTAATAAATTTCAGTGCGTCATGGTGGACTATAACCAATGCATGTACATACAAGACTCAGCCAGGAGCCTCCAAGTTGTTGTTTTCTATCAACATCTCAACTTTAATTGACACATTAAGACTGTTTCAATCCTGTTACCTACAAAGTAGAAACAAAGGTCAAACGGTTGCTCCCAACAGCTGTAAGCTCATAGTTTACCATATATTTAATGTTAATCATGTATGTAGAATCAGTTATTTCTGCTTACATAAGCAGGGCTAAAGCTGACAAGTGCTTTCAGTAGGGTGACGTATGTGTGTGTTACATAAGTTGAGTTAAAAATAGAGAGCTCCGGCCCTCATGTATGGAGTTCCAGTTTGTAGAAGCTCCTTGGTGAACATATGGAATGTGGATTTAGAGTTTCTGATATGGTCGAGAAGAACTCCGTATGTTAAACTTGTCAAAACATTTGAACCATGTCAACGGAAATTCTGAATTTTGCCCTGCTGTAGTAGACAAATTCACCAAGCAACCTTTCAGAGTTGGGAGTTTTTAGGCATTGAGACTCCCAAATATTCCCCATAAAATGCCCCAAATGTGCATTTTGCTCGCATGGCAGGTTTTATTTGTTGTTTTAAAGAAGACAGTTTTTAGTTGGTGAGCATGCTGCTGTTAGAAGGGAAAATTATAGTGTGAATGTTCTCCATACTAAGGCCAAGAGACGTGTCTCCTGCCACGTCTGCTGTCCTGTCCTTGTTTTACCTTTCTCGCATTATGTCAAACTAGATGTTTTCGACAGTGATCAGTGCTCCAAGTATAACTTTCACAAAGTCCACAGGCTCTGCCAAAGCCACAGTATTGTGACTCTAAACAGTTCTGGCTCATTGGCTTGTTGCACTTGCTGTAATGTGCATGTGATACTGTGGTGTTTGTTTTCTTAGTAACAGTAATTTTATATTAGAATTCATCATGTCTGTGTAGATTTCCAGCCATCCAGGTAATTGCAATCTTAAGAGTTTCAGTAAAAGCCAACTGGAACTTTCTTTTTGGTTCGTGAAGATGTTTTACCTTCATCCAAAAGGTTTCGTCAGTTCTAACTGGCTGATGAGGAAACTTTTTGGGAAGCAAACCCATTGTAAGTACCTGATAAGTGGTGTTGTTGATTCCCTCCAGGGTTGGCAGATCAACATCCCCTTCCATTTTGTAGCTGGTATGTCTTATACAGATGCACTTTCGACTCAGCAACACTTTTGGACAAAAACTGGTTCACCCTGAGGATTTAAACAGCCAAACACACACTGAGCAATGTTGTACGAGGTGTATCAGAAAAGTTTCAGGACTGGAGTTTCAAAAGATATATTTCAAATCCAAACTACAAACTACAAGTTTTCCCCTTCGATTTAACCCCCTGGAGTCTAACACACTTTCCCAGCCTTCTCTGCCACACCGCCATGCACTCCTGGAAGGATTCTTCCAGGATCTTCCACAGCTCCATCATCACAGCCATCTTGATGTTGTCCATGTCTTCAAAACTGGTCTCCTTGATAACCCCCTTGAGCTTGGGGAAGAGGAAGAAATCCCACAGAGCCAGGTGGGGTTAGTAGGGAGGTTGCTCCAGCACAGAGATGTTCTTCTCAGCCAGGAACTGTCGGATGCTCAGCGCATTGTGAGCAGGTGTGTTGTCATGGTGAAGCAGCCAGAACTTGTCCTGCCACAACTCTCGCCTCTTCTTGCGCACTGAATGAAGTAAACACCACAGGGATCTCTTTGTAGATGTGCTGGTTGATTGTCTGAAGGGGAAAACTTGTAGTTTGTAGTTTGGGTTTGAGAAATATCTTTCGTGACATCAGTCCTGGAACCTTTCTGACACACCTCCTATATTCAGTCCAAGCAAGGGATGCACAGACCTATATATAAATCAAATTATCAGTCATCCATCATTGCAAACCTTAGAACGTCTGTAAAAACTGGACTTCTCTTTTGGTTCTTGATGATGTTTCACCTTTCTCCAAGAGGCTGCTTCAGTTCCAAATGACTGATGGGGAGTCCCAGATAGATAAAATCACACAGTTGTCAGAATGAACAGTTTAAGACTCACGTCTTGATGTGTAGATGGTCTGAAAAAAATGCCAGGTCAAGGATGATAAATGAAGCTGTTAATGGTGGTGAAACTCTCAGGAGAGCAAACTCAAAGCTGAATTGTAAGTACCTGATAAGTGGTGTTGTAGATTCCCTCCAGTGATTCCTTATGTAGCTGGTATGTATGAGAAACCAAACACAACATAGCATTTCAGACTCAGCACCACTCTTGGACAAAAGCTGGTTCACCCTGAGGCTTAAACAGCCAAACACACACTGAGCAATGTTGCATATGCAGTCCAATGCAGTAAGGAATACACAGATCTATATACAAGGGACACTATTTTGTAAGGTCTATACCTTACTATGTTAAGTGCTATGTGATGACATATGTTGTAAACTGCACTATACAAATTGAATTGAATTGAAACTGAACTATACAACCACTCAGCTCCTCAGAACAAGACTCGGTAATCCAACAGCATTAAAAGGGGAAGGGACACTCCTTTGAGGACAGCAATGACCACATTCTGGATAAACTCTAAATAGAAAAGGAGGTCTATGACACCAATTATCATGTACTTTTAATGCAGTCTGGAGACATCTCCCCAGAAGGTTTGACACCAACAACATCAATCCTTCCTGACCAGGCATTTTCACAAGCATTCACACCTTGGGGTACAGTATTAGGGTGATTAATGGGCCTTCAGCCGTGTGAGTTGATGGTGAAAATATCTATCTGGGACTCTGTATCAGCCAGTTAGAAGTGAGGAAGCCTCTTGGAAGAAGCTGAAATGTCCAGCTGCTTTCTACTGAACCTCTTAGGATGAGTTCAGCAGCTATCTTACCTTGTTTAAATCCCCACATGGTGCTTTTTATATGCAAAACACATCGTGGGTAAAACAAGCAGTCAACGCTAAGCACTTCCATCATGAAACCACAGTGTTTCGATTACAGTCGTTAAAAACATGGATTCATACAACCAGGGTTTCATACATAACAAACCTAAGAAACCATAAAGCTTATAAATATGGAACCTTGTTACACAGAGATGGGTTTTTTAAGGCGTTAAATGAATGCCAGGAGACGTCTGTATCACATATATCAGGAGAGGAAGGGAACCGCAGCCAGAGCACATACCTTCCTTGTATATCATCCCTAACATGGGGCTAAATCTGCCTCCTCTGGTGCTGATGTGTAAGCAGGAGTTTGTTGATTCATCACACCCACACACTCAGACCAATTATAACAGCTTTTGAAAACTTTCCTTTTATTAAACTACTGTTCAAAAGCGACACAAACCGCTGCTGTTTTTATGAGCAGTGCTGTGTCATTTGTGCTCGGCGGCCTCGTTATATTTGGAGACATTTTGCAGCTGTCTCCAAACCTGAGGCTTCGGTCAGTGTGTGTTAACTTCATGACATGCAAGCCCACTTTGTAAAACTTTATGAGTCTGTCACTCCCACAAGACAGCGAGGCTTTAACCAGATGGAATGCTGGAAAAAAAGGGCTGAGGTGACGTCAGCTGATCGCCCCCACCCATGTTTAGGCTTGGTTACACTTTTGTTCCACTCACCAGCTGGAGGGTCAGTGTGTATGTACCAGTGTACTTGTATTAGTCATGTTGCAGGGAACATAAATCTGTTTACACAGTCACGTTGTGGTGACCCGCCTCCCTTTAAGGCACAAAAATCATGTTCTCATACCGTAAATCAGACAATTTTTGTATGAAACCTTGGTTTAAGAGTCATGGTTTAGGACTAGGGAAGTGGTAGTTATGGTAAGGGTTGGGTTAAATCTCCAGGAAATGAATGTAAGTCACTGTAATGTCCTCTGAAGTGATGGAAACATGACCTCTGAGTGTGGACATGTACTGTATACAAACAGCTGGTTGTTTCAGTGTTGCCCCTCCCTTAGTTTAGTGTAACTTCATGGTGTTTGGGTTTTAACTTGGTTGGTTGGTTGTGTGTGGAACACATTTTAGTGTGTTTTCTGTCTATTTGTCTGGTTCTGAGGTCTCCTACATGCTCAGCACTGGGGATTTCCTGATTGGATTTCTCAGACACATTACACAGCAGAGAGTGGGTGAACCATCTACCAAAAAACGCTGTTCTGTGGTCTCTGTGTCGCGCACATGTGCATGGAGGGAGTGGTGATTAAAGGCTTTTGCTTTGGCTTGCTACAGTAAATTTCGAAGGCTGCCGACCCTGCCAGATCTCAGTGGATAAAAGCTGCTCTTTGTCAAGTTTGTCCCTGACTCAATCTACATGTTTCCACTCTGTTCTGAGTCTAATTCACTGTCTTGTCAGACACATTTTGTAACTGAACATTGTTTCAAAGTCAGCTACAGAAAACACATTTTTCTGTTATTGTGGTTTATTTGACTGGAAAACAACACTTCACCATCTTTTCACATCAAGAAGTCTGACAGTTTTGTGACTTTCTTTCAGTTATGTAAGAGCTTTTGATGTCAGATGGGACAATTGCCAGTCTTGTGGACTTTCTAGGCAAAATATCAAAGCCAGAGTTGCCACATATAATCGTAAAGTTCAGAGACTGTCCATAAAAAGCATAAACTGCACCTGATTTAAATTTGGCCATTAAGTAGTCTTCTTGTGCAGCAATACACTGCTCCTGGGCTCCTGCCACATTCAGATCACTCGTTGGAAGTCCTGTTCTCAAGTTTGCAGTTGCACATGGGTGATTTTGCCGTGAATGTCAAACTTGTGCAAAAGCAAACATTCAGTTTGGTTGAAAACTAATCCTACCTTCATGAGGATTATAGCTAGTGATGAGTTCCAAACTGTCTGCAGTGGAGGAGCTGAAGAAGGTTCATCACTTCAGCAGCACGACCCAGATCATGTTTGTGGTTTTGTTCGATATTCATGTGACTGGGCACCATGAAATTGTCCCCAACTGTCAGCTTTTCAATGCTGACTTCTACCATAACACTCTGAGTCACTTGAGATTGGAGATAGTCTTCTTGCGCAGTAATAGACTGCTCCATGTGCTCCTGCAACACTTGTAAGGCTACCTGGGAGTTTTGAAGAAGAGGAAGCAGTCGCAGAGAGTCAAATTTGACAAAAAAAGGGCGACTGAAGATCATCAGTTGAGTTGTTGGGGCCAAGAAACTACATTGTGAGCAGGCAAGCATTGGCAGGATGGCAGGTTCCATAGGTCAGATTGCTGAAATGTTCTCCATAAGGCACCTCAGGGCGTTACAGTAGAACTCTGCATTGACAGTGTGATCCTGGAGGCCAAATTGACAACCCTCTGAATGCTGAACAGCACAACAGGCACTTTTTAGTCTAGGAAGCTGCAGCTCAGCTTCTACTGTGAAGACTGAATTGTTGTTCGGTCCCTGGATTCTGTTGATAGACCTCATCAACAGGTGATGGGGGGCTGCACGGTGCCTCGGTGGTTAGCAACGTTGCCTCGCAGCTGGAAGATCCCTGGTTCGCATCCCAGTAAGGATGCCTGGGATCTTTCTGCGTTGAGTTTGCATGTTCTCCCCGTGTAGCGTGGGTTCTCTCCAGGTTCTCTGGCTTCCTCCTACAGTCCAAAAACATGTTGAGGTTAATTGGTGATTCTAAATTGTCCGTAGGTGTGAATGTGAGTGTGCTTGGTTGTCTGTCTCTAAGTGTAGCCCTGTGATAGACTGGTGACCTGTCCAGGGTGTCCCCTGCCTTCACCCTGAGTCAGCTGGGATAGACTCCAGCCCCCCCCGCAACTCTAATGAGGATTGAGTGGTATATAGATGATCCCCACCGGGACACCAACCTGCGACCTTCTTGCTGCGAGGCAACAGTGCTACCAACTGCGCCACCTTGCAGCCCGTCTTAACAATATGTCCCTCTAAAATAAAATTTAGAATCTGACTATTGTCTCCTTCCTTCTCCAGAAAACGACAAGCCGATGAAGGGTCTTCGTCAGGAGGATCTGGTAAACCAGGATCTGATCACTGAGCTGAGGAAAGAGTTCAGCATGACGTACGATGAGTTCTACATGGTCCTCACCGACACAGACATGAGAGTCAAGGTAGGGACCACTGTAAACATTAGTTAAATCCACTGATTATTTTGATTGTTTGTAATCCCATTTTACCCTGTTTAACTGTTACAGGTGCTGCTGTGAGATATCTTATCATCAAAAATATGAATAATTGCATTACAGTAGAGGAAACACACAGAAAAAAACTAAAAATAAAGATGTGTTGGTAATACATTGAAGGCAAATAAGTAAGATAAGATACGCTTTAGAGACCTGCAGGGAAATTTGTTTTGACCGTGAGGTGACTACATGACCACATTTAAAAACACATGCACACACATGCACATGCACACATGCAAACACAAAGAAAAAGGTTATTAAACATGCCTAAATTCATAAAGACAGTAGTTTGTTGGATGAAAAGCAGATATAACTGACCAATAGAATGATAATATTAATAAACGGACAATATTTTCAAATCATAAATACAACTAGAGTCAAAAAAGTGACTCTTTAGAATGATAAGAATAAATAATTAAACCGTAGTTAAAAAAAAATAAACAAAAATAGTTAAAAAAAAAATACAATCAAATCATGTAGTACTCTTATTTGTTATTTGTTATCTTAAGGGCAGATGGAATGAATAAACTCTTTCCTCCTGCCTGATGGCAACACCATCCTGTGCCATTATTAAGTCCCAAAGTTATTATATTCCCGTCAGTCTCTGCTGCATTTTGTTTTTTGGGTTGGTTAGCACATGCTAGTAAACTATATAAATAAACTATGTGAGAATGTGAACTTGGTGGTTAAGTATTACCACTGTGAGCTAAATACAGCAGTCTAAGTGTTTACACTGCAAGTGTTCATCAATCATTGGTTCTGTAAATACTGTATATCACCTGAACTGGAGCAGCACAGGATAATGGCATTTAAAGCAAAAGCAAACCAGGCATGAACTCTCACTGGGAAACTATTATGGATATGTTTAATTTACTGCTGACAGTCATGTAAGTCTGTTACAAATTAGGGAAAAGGAACCAACATTACACGAGGCGTTTCTGAAAAATATAGTTATTTGTTAACAAACGAGCTTTAGAATTTGGGAAAATGGGCCTTGTTACATCAGTATGATCAAAAGAGGACTCTGAAAAGAGCATGTGTGATCAGTTTTTGTATCTAAGGTCCTCACACAGTAAACAAGTACCACCATACTAATACAACAAGGTTATTCAGAAAACTATACATCAGAATCATAACAAGACAGGGAAGCTGCTGATGTTAAATTAGAGCTTTGTAGTGTGTTGAACTGAGCAGGTTTTGTATCTTTCTAGTCCCCAATTATATCCTCTGGGTTAGAGAACTGGACTGGGTGCTGCATCTAAGTGAGGTAGATGATAATTATATATATAATACATGGTGATATTGGTAAACTATATTTATAAGGCTAAGGGAAGGAAAGGGGAATGAACAACGCAAGGCACCAACAATACAGAGTCTTTAAGAAAAGACTTTATATCTCCAGTAGCCACACTCTGTCTGACGGTGGTTCCTTGTCAAGCCATTTCTTGGTCTTTTTTCCTAACTAGAACTAATACTACGAGACGGTTCTTGTCCTGAACATTACATTCAGCTGACATATTACCTTAGTATGATGTGCTGAAGCTATAGTTGATCTCAAAGCCCAGTATGGATTTTATTTCTGTTCAAAACACCAGATAATAGGACTGTCTTGCTGGATAATTCAAATATATGCAAAGGTGTTCAGACACTGAATTTCTACATCATCCTAAGACTCTTCTCTACCTGTCTGCAGTATTTTCTTCTTGGAACAATACAAAAATCTGCTCATTCTTTGTTTGTGGTTCAGACTAGCTGCCCCTGTGTTACAAGGTGATGTAGATAAGTAACAGAAGAAACCTTGAACTTCAAATAAGGCATTTCAGGAAGGTAAGGAGCAGAGTTTTCTGTGGGAGAGAATAACCCTCCGCTTGATGTGGACTTTCCCAGCGAGCAGGGAACGTTCCCACAACATTGGCCAACATCATCTACAAACTCTAACAGTGTTTTAAAGTTTAATCTAATGTCCAAAGAATGTTTAAAGGATATTTATCTTCTCGAATAATGTTCCTAAAAGGTTCAAAGTTAACAAAGACACAAGTTTGAACATTCAGAGGATGTTTGGAGGATGTTGTCACAGATTCTTTTATATGGTACCAAAGGAAGAAAGTTTTAAAAAAATGTTTTCAAGATGTTATTGAGGCCTCAAACGACAGGATGCCTTTTTTTCTTACAAATGTTCCTGTAATGTAGTGTTTTAACAAAGATGGAACAGTTTGGATGCTTTGGGGACGGTGTTTCTTTCAGAAAACATTCCCACGATGTTCCACAATACTACATGATGACAATGAAATCTCTATGCAACATTTAGAAAACATTGAACAATGTTGTAACCACGCATTTTTAGAATGTCTTAAGTTATCCCACCTTTAGGAAACACATTGTGGGAACTAAAAGAGAGCTCCCCACAGAAACACTTCAGAACATTCTGTCTCTGGAAGGAGTTAATTCTAGCTTATTTGTCAGTTTGTAGACCTTTTACATGCACAAGAAGCAGCTATATAACACATTGAAGGAAAGGGAGGAACCCAAAAAGCAAAACATGGGCTCTATAATGTCCCTCTAAGATTTAAATAGTTGCTCTTTTAATATTGTGCTGCTTATTTCCTTTAAATGAGCCGTTCTTCTGACTCATGGCGTTCCTGCTGGTTTTCACGCTCCGTCTTCTGCTCCTCTCTGAAGGTGGACTGACGTGTCCTCATATTACCAGCACGGTGGCTTCACTAAAACACTGTTTTAATTCACACGACATGACATTTGCTCACCAGCTGTACGTGTGTGCGAGTGCCAGGGTAAATCGGCCGGCTGTTTTCGGACAAATTCATCAAAGAGGCTAGTGTTTGGCGTCCTGTGCCGAGACGGGGGAGTCTGTGAAGGATGTGGGTGTATGAAAGGTGTGAAAGAGTCAGAACGAGCTGTGCAGCAAACTCAGCACATCCCGAGGAAGCAGCGAGTTGCATTTTCACGCACATGTTAGACATTCACACCGTGGCTGCTCAGCATTTCGTAAATTAAACTGAATACTTTGTTATGTTTGAGCAAGTCGGCGCTGCTTCCCAGAAGTTATTATACAGAACAGTTGGCAAAGGTTCAAAGCCCCAAAAAGTTCACTTTATGACTTCATTGGAAACAGTTTCACCATTGTTTTCTATTTTCATATTCTCTGGGCTCTTTCCAGATTCTCCTCCACAGGCAGATTGATTTTCTTACTCTGTTGCTTCACCGCATTCACATCAACCTTTGCCAGCTTCTTGTTGATGGTTTTTTTATGTGTCTGTCAGCAATCCTATGAAGTTCCCATCGCCATGAAGGCTGTGTTTGACTACATCGACACCTTCTCCTCCCGCATCCGGGAGATGGAGCAGCAGAAGAGAGACGGAGTCGTCTGTAAGAAGGAGGACAAACCCAGATCACTGGAGAACTTTCTCTCCAGGTGAGATCAATGTGACGGTTTTGAATGTGCTACATGGCCAAGCGCATGTGGACAACATTACAGAATGCTTATTTTTATGCACATTTTGTAGTATTGCAACAGCAAAGTTTTACAGAAACAGCACATTTCAATGTCCTCAACAAACTGGCAGTTTTGGGCTTTTTCCCCAAAAAATGATTGTTGAGCTTCCTGACAGATGAAAACACCTGTTCAGTGCTTCACTTACAGACTGACTGGCTGCTTCTTTGGTTGTCTTCGTCTCCAGACAGCATGAAACATGTCTGATACCTGCTGACATTACAGAGTAACTACAGCCTGCTGGATTAAAAAAGAAAAACTAATTCTTAAGATTTAATTTTTCCATCATAGATGAACAAAGTTTTTTTGGTTTCTTCTTTTTGTCACTGGTTGGCAACAACTGGGGTGTGTTCCTGTAGTCATGCTTCCATACTGTACAAAACGTAGAAAAATATTTAATAAGTCCCAATAACAATAATAATAATAAAATGATAATAACTTAAATATAACTATAACACCTTTCGGAAAAAAGTAGTTACAAAGTGCTTTACAATAGTACGAATGAACAATTGTTTGCTTCTAAGTGGCCTGTTATGGAACTGGATTTGTGCATAGAAACATTATGTCTGATTTCCTACAAACTGTTGCCAAATAGTTGTGTAAAATATCATTAAATTTAACATTTTGCCTAACCTTGTGAATTCCAAAACTTGCCGGCAGGTTGGAAAGGCATAGTCACTTCATTTCACAGGTCCTTTGTAAAAAAAATTCTGAAAGGTAAACCAGATCCTGTAAAACAAACAAACAAAAAAATGCACTCCTTCATGCAAACGTGAAAACACTAGTGACTTAGCTCTGACCAGAAATTCAGGGAGTTATGGGTTGAACTGCAGGCAGTGTTTTCACAAAGCAGTGAAGAGACCACTTGTGGGAAAATGTTACACATGTTGGAAATCACATAAATATGTTTTTATGTTTGGTCTTGATTTGCTGTCAAGTCTGTTAAAACTGCTGCTACTGCAGCTGATAGAACACAGACTAGAAAATGGATTATTCTGCTGGTATTTATTACAGAGAATATTCAATCAGTAACATTAATTTCACTTAAATGATAATTATTAAAGTGATATCCTGCATTATGGGACAGCGTCAAATTAAATGCACATTAGTACAGTATCATGTTAAATGTGCTCTAATGTGCAGCTTTCACTTAGAAATAAGTAGCTGCATTGATCAATAACCTGTTCACTGATGTAGTGGATGTGAGTCTCTGGAACTGTTTTGAGATTTTGAGGGTCAAGATTGCAGAGTTTGGGAACCCCTGTTGTATTTGAGCGTCTCTTCTTTCCTGGAATTTGGTTTAATAAACGTTTGGTGTGTAAAACTGGATCCCCCTTGAATCTGGGATGTTGTCTCAGTTCTGCAGCGGAACCAGTGGTCAGAATTATTGGGTGGTCCCTTCAGGCTGTTCCCACTTCTATCAGACATCTGCTGCTCTGCTCAGTAATCAGCCGGACCACAATTTATGGCCATTAGAAGCAGCGTTTGGCAGATTGCAGCAGCCTGTTTTTGTGTGTTCCACAGAGATTAAAAGTAACATAAACCCCTTCGCCCTTCCTCAAGGCTGAATCATCGCAGGCGCATATTTTTCTAAAGCAAACTGGCTGCCTCATGTTGCCATGGAGACCTGGATCCTAGCTCCAGATCGCAGTGCAGCGATCTTGCAGGTTTTTTGACCATAATTCGGGGTTGTCACCCCTCTGGCAGTAATAGTATACGGGAACACATAGCACAAACTCCCTCATCTTTGGCGCGGAGCTTTTACTGCTGCATCAAAAGTGCCACTTAAATCCGGTCTAAAAATTTTATGTGATTGCAGGTTCCGTTGGAGACGTCGCCTGTTCATCATCTCGGCCCCCAGCGACGAGGAGTGGGCCTACCAGCAGCAGCTCTACGCCCTGAATAGCCAGGCCTGCAACCTGGGTGAGTTGCTCCGAATACAACCAGCAGACTTGATCTTGGTTAAGTTGCTTTCTTCAGGTCGGTCTCGCTGCTGAGAGCTGCAGTGTGTCGGCCTGCTGTTCGGTAAAAGCTGCCGCCTGCTGCAACCAAAAATTTGAGAAACAAAACAGTGAAGTTGCGGCTGGAAAATCACAACAATGAGCTAAAAACAACACCATAAAGTTCCACAGAACCGCACCGAGCTGCTGATGCTTCCCTGCAGAGTCATCAATACAGACAAAACCTTTCACATGCAGCTGCTCTCCACTGCTTTTGCTACTTTATGATTCCAAAAATAGACCCCACTGTGCGAAACAGTAAAACTGAACAGACATTTATCTCCATTTGGCACATGTTTGTTTTTAAATAATTTCACAATCCTGGTTCTGATATTTGAGATACCACACAAACTCCTCTATACATCTAGGAAAAGAAATCTCTCCTGCCAGCATTTCATGATGAAATACAAGTAAAAAGCACAAAAAAAATCTAAAGTAAGAAACATTTTTTTCATCACTGAGCAATAAACTGCTTCCCTCCACCTTGTACACCTGGTTCTTTGTTACTCCCAGCCCACTCCAGACAGCTGGGTCGTAACACTTGATATAAAGGCTGATATAAAAAGTCTGCAAGTATTATCACATCAAATTATGTTAGATCTAAATGGCCAAGACTGTTCTGAAAAAACTAAAACAAGATGCAGCTTATATCGTTAGTCGTAATAAAGACCAAGTTAAGAGGTTAGACGTAAAGGTCATGAGATTACATGAGAACACTATAAACAAAATGACATATACGTGCATATATTACAATATTTTGTATTAAAACACCAATGAAATAGTGTTTAACTCCATACAATCTAAAAACTGAAGCAACTGACTTGGTTAGATACAGTGGTGGAAAGTAACTAAGTACTTTTTACTGAAGTACTGTACTTTGGTACAAATTTGAGATACTTGAACTAAGTTTTTCCATTTTGTGCAACTTTCTACATTCACTCTTCTGCATTTTAGAGGAAAATATCGTACTTAACTACATTTCTCTGACAGCTTTACTTACGTTTAAGATTTTGCAGGGTTTTTTTTGTGATTTGTTGCACATACTGTAGTTTGGTTGCTGCCTGTCTGTTTTTAAGCATGCTATATAAACAAATTAGGTCCAGTCTGTCTTAAATAGCAATGGAGCAAACTTGGAAACTGCGTTTTTGTGTAAATTTAAGTAAAATAATCTTTAGCAGTTCCTTTAATTTTGACGTTGAGGTGCCATTTTTTTTTATTTATTTTTTTTTGCTGCTAAGTGTTTTTCCGTCTTTCTGCACCACAAAAAGTCTCCTGAAAATCCGCCAGCAAAAAACATATTAAAAATGTTAGAATACTGCAATATACAAAAACTGTGACAAAAATAGCAAAATCTGTAAAATAATGTATTTTTTCAGCTTATTTACAGTAAAACTCATTTTACCATCATCATTGTAAACAAACAATAACAAAGACCGCCTCTGAAAAAATCTCTGTGTTAATTCAGATTAGCAGAAAGGATGTTTATGTATCTTTACAGTGTTGAGAGTTACCAGTTTTTTCACAGATACTTACCTTCAGTATGCAATTTCTCTTTTATTTTCTGGTGACCTGAGCTTCACCTCAGCGTCACCAGCTGCCAGAGTTTTAGTCAGAGCATTTATGAATATGTAAATGCCATGAAGAAGTTGATTACATGGAATGTTTCTGTTTACTGCAGCTCTCCAGATGTGCATTTGTGCACGGAGGGATGTTTTAGAGAGATCCCAGATGACAGAACTGGCAGAGAGCGGTTCTGTTTGACTCTCTTCCTCTTGAGCCTGCTCAACTTTTCCACAGTAAACGCTTTCACTGTACGTCTCAGGGAGGCATTTATCTGAACTCTGCAAATCTCAACAATCTGATGTGTGACAGATTTATGTGAGATAAATGTAAACTTTTAATAGCCCACAGTGAACTTCACTTCTCAGTAAAACCAAATAAATGCTGTAGGGAGGACTTTGTACTCCGACCAAACCTCCAGTCGTGTTTATATGAATTCAAGATTTCTGACGTTTCTCTCAGGCTCTGGTTTCTTCCTGCTTTTATGGTCAGAGCATACATGGATGTGTCATGTTTATGACTCACGCTGTGAATTCAATACAATAAGCCTTGTTATTCTCACAGTGGGGAAATTTGCATAGGAGGATAGCTCAAACATTTAAGAACTGTCAGTAGAAAAATAAAAATATACAAACAAATATACGTCAGTACGAGGTCACATTGTCCAATTTCCTCATGGATGTGCAAAAAACAATATTGCACATATCAATGTTGTTGCACAGATTCTTTCATGAGCAGAAAAGCTGATAGAGAAGTACTGATACTGCACAGATTTGAACAGATTTATGATTATTAACCAGATTTAAAACTTTATTGGCTGCGAGATGTTAAAACTTGAATAGAAGAAGTCAGCGAAAGGAGATTTTCTAACAGTGAAACTTTCTAATATAAAATAAACGTGCAACGAGCTCATAAGTGGCCAATAAACTTTTCTTTATTTGTGGTTTTAAGATCAGTTTTGGACTGGATAGTTGTAAAAATATTCCTGACCTGCTTTTAACCTTCTCCTGTAGCCCTGCTGTCTTTTTAACTCAATCTTTACTTCATTCAATTGGAAATTTCACCAGTTTTACAAAAAAAAGGAACAATTTATTAACTTTTGTCGCTTGATATGAAGAATTCATTTGCAAAAACAGAGAACTCCATCTTCACAAACCTTCAGAAAACCACTTTTCCATCATCTACCTGAGACAATATCAATCAAACTTAAGTTATCTCTATTTTTGTCATGTCATTTCTCAAATCCATTCAGCTTCAGTCTGATTGATTTTGTCTCAAGCAAACAACAACAACAAAAAAAAACATCTTCTGAAAATCTACGAAAATTTAGAGTTAACTGTTTTTGGAAATGAACTCTTCATTAGTAAGTGTGTCTTGTTTCTGTCTATAAAACCATTAAATATGCATTCAGTCAGTCTAAATTTGTCCTCCTGGTTGGAAAGTTCTTAGCCTGTTTGAAGCACAAACACATGGAGAATCACAGCAGGATTTCTGGTCAGATCTGTGCATTTACCAACAGTGATGTTGCTCCTCTACCTTCCTACAGTAGCACTAAACCAATGCTCAGTTAATAAGACTTCATCCACACTAATAATGCTTTCTTTTAAAACAGCTTTGTAAAAGGAAAACTGCATGTTATTGCTAGCATCTTAGCACTGTTTCAAAAAAATTAAAAATTAAAAATGTATTTATGCCTACCAACAAGCCTAAAAAGGTGAAAAGCAAGACCAGAGATTTTCTGAACTGTACAAGAGAGGTCACTTTCCAAAAGTCTCCGTTTTGGAGTTCTACAACACAGAAGTTATGCAAAATCTAGCAGAAGTTAGTGTTTTAAAATGAAAACATATCACTGTGGGTGGATTTAGACTTTGGTTATGATTCTGCCACTTCCACCACATATTTAATACAAATTTTCCCTCCTCTTCCCCTTTATAATATAATATAATATAATATAATATAATATAATATAATATAATATCATATAATATCATATAATATCATATAATATAAAATAATATAATGTAATGTAATGTAGGGTTGCAAGGTGGTGCAGTTGGTAGCACTGTTGCCTCACAGCAAGAAGATCCCCGGTTTGCGTCCCGGTGGTGGCACCGGAATCTTTCTGCATCGAGTTTGCATGTTCTTCCTGTGCAGCGTGGGTTCTCTCCGGGTTCTCCGGCCTCCTCCCACATGGTCCAAAAACATGTTGAGGTTAATTGGTGATTCTAAATTGTTCGTAGGTGTGAATGTGAGTGTGCTTGGTTGTCTGTCTCTAAGTGTAGCCCTGTGATAGACTGGTGACCTGTCCAGGGTGTCCCCTGACTTCACCCTAAGTCAGCTGGGACAGACTCCAGCCCCCCATGACCCTAGTGAGGATTAAGCGGTGTGTAGATAATGGATGGATGGACATTGATATTGTTTTTTTTTTTAATCTAAATGCCTGAAATGTTTAAACTGTAATTCCTGTAGACAGGGGAGGACTTCTTCAGTTTGATGACCATGGCTAGAAAAGCTGTGTGGTGTTCTGTGCTGCCCCTCGGTGGTCTCAGTCTGCAGCTGAAGGTGCTCTGATGCGAACGTTTGTTTTAGCTCCTAAACTTTATAAAATCCACCTTATTAGACAGAAGTACCATCTAACTCAGTGTTTTTCTCTGAGTGAGTCAGATGACTGAAGGGAAAAAAAGCTCCTCTCTCCTTATCAGCAGCTGCAAATCAGGTTGTTTGAGGACTTTTTTCCCCCCTCATGTGTTGCTCTTGGCCGGGTCGCCACCCAGATCTGCTGCCCCAGACAAAGGCCTTGTCCTGCTGACTGGGCTGAAGGCCTCACAGGTCTGATCCTGGTATTCAGCACTTGGCGCTCACCGAGTAAAGCCAGCGTTCTCCTGTGTTTAATGTGGGCTTTCTCGCTTCAGAGGAAACTGCTTTTTTGGCAGGGGCTCTGCAGACCACCACCACCACCACCACCTCTCCTCCCTTTACCTGGAAACAAGAGCTCAGGATGGTTCCAATAACAAACAGTGAAATCAGCCTGAATAAGCAGGAGGAGTGATGGATTAAAAGAAAAACAGTTTTACAGACTGTTGTTTGAAGTCTTATTGTTATCTATCTAAGATATTTGCCTCTCTCTTATGTGTGTTGCCATGGCAACATAGGTCTGAGGCACATCGCCATTCTGAAGTTGGTTGGCACAGAGGCGCCGGATATGGGCGGAGTCCTGGAGCTGTATCCTATCAACGGTAAGAACTTTGTCATGTAAAATAACGAGGGTTGGGCAGCAAACGCAACACACACACAGTGCTTTCTATTAAGGCACAGTGAGGTCCTGGAGCTGCCCTCCCTCATGCAAAACCAGAATAAGTCCAGAAGTAGGATCTAATTCTCAAAGGTTCACTTACTTATTCCACCAGAGGAACCTCAGATGTTTGTTTTCAGCAGGAACAGTCAGTCAGGGCTGCAGAACCAGGTCTGCTGTGAAAAACGAAATCAGATTTATTCTCTTCTGACCTGGACAAGAAAAGTTGATTTTTTTGTTTTGTTTTTTAAAATTTTAAAATCAAATTTCATCAATAATTTAAAAAAAAAAAAATTTTAAATTTGTAAGGTTTTAATCTCTAATACGTAAATGAATCAAGTAAAATCCCACCATAATTAACAGAACAGGATCTCAACCACAGCACTTACACTTGTTACGATGCTTCCGTAATAGTCTCCTTTACTGGAAAGCTCTTATCTTCAATGTGCTGTATAAAAAACGTTACAAGTTTTTTCTTGTTGACTTTGCATGTTTGGGATCTTAGCTCTGCCCTCCTTCATGTAAAACCAGAATCAGTCCAGAAAGAGTCTAAGATCCACTTCCTTATTCCACCAGAGGAACCTCACATGTTTGTTTTCAGCAGGAACAGTCAGTCAGGGCTGCAGAACCAGGTCTGCTGTGAAAAACTAAATCTGATTTTATTGTCTTCTGACCTGGACAAGAGAAGTTGTTTTTGTTTTTGTTTTTTTAAATCAAATAGTATTTTTTTTGGGGGGGAGGGGACAAAATATTATAATTTTGTAAGGTTTAAATCTGTAATATGTAAATAATCAGCTAAAATCTCATCATAAACCACAACATCTACACTTGTTACATTACTCTTGTAATAATCTTCTTTACTTGAAAGCTTCTTCCACCAGAGGAACCTCAAATGTATGTTTTTTAGCTGGAACTGACTCCATACAACTTTAAGCTGCAGAACCATGTGTGCTGCCGTGAGACCAAAAACAAAATCAGATTTATTCTTTTCTGACCTTGTCAAGAGAACTTTTTTTTATTTTTATATCAAACAGTAAATTTTCTTAGAGAAACAGAAATCTGAGTCAGGCTTTTGCAAGACTGTAGAAAGCAGAGCTGCTGCCAGAAGGCCCAGGTTTCTGTTTTTGGCATTTGAGCTCAGCGTGAGGAGATACAGTAAAAATAAATCCTTCAATGCTGAATCTCTGCTCCGTCCAGGGACTGCTACTGTGGAGCGCGAGGGGCTTTCGGCCACGCTGGTCAAGGACATGAGGAACTACTTCCAGGTCAGCCCGGAGTACTTCTCCATGCTGCTGGTGGGAAAAGACGGCAACGTGAAGTCCTGGTACCCATCACCCATGTGGTCCATGGCCATCATCTACGACCTGGTGGACTCTATGCAGCTACGCAGGCAGGAGATGGCCATCCAGCAGTCGCTCGGCATGCGCTGCCCTGAAGACGAGTACGGCGGCTACGGCTACCACCAGCACGGATACGAACACGGCTACCAGGACGGTTACCACCAGGGTTACGGTTACTAACAGGTAGCCGAGGATGCACACTGCCTCTTTGTGCTTTTTTATTTTTTTTCCATCTTTTCCTCCCATTCCAGTTACAGTCACAGATGGATTCAAGCTCCTTGAATGTTTCGTAGCACTTAGTGGAAGCCTTCAAAACTGCTTCCACCTCTCCACTTCTTTCACATACAGCATAGCGCGTAGACCGCTGCAGGTAACAGTAATTTGTAGATGAGCCTGGAGGTTCAGGGATGTGCTGTGTACTTTAGTTTTTTTTTAATCATTTTTCCAAACACGTCAGTATATCATCTGTCTCTTGCCTTCCAGGTCGAACTTGCATACAAATTTTCAGCACAGACCTTTATTTTGTAGATAACAGGCTAAAGTAAGACATGTATTTATTGGACGTCTGTCGCATCAAAGGTGAAATTACCGATAATTTTATAAAAAAAACAAGCTGTCACATTATTTCTCTTTTTGTAAAGTTTCTGTTGCTATACATTGTTCTTATTTATACTCTGTTGGCTATATGACAAATAAACATTTGTTTACCAGTAAGGACATTTCAACTGCTTGCTGTGCACAGTATATTCATTCTCAAAGTTTCAGTCTAAATCCTTTGAGCTCCATCTCCCCCTAGTGGATTCATACTGTAAGAGTGTCAAGAGAAATTCTTTCCAGGACATTTGATTGGCCATTTAATGATAAGGACAACCTTATGTTAAGAAAAAAACGTGCACTGTAGAGTAAAACCATAAAATACTAAAGATGTTTAATGCTGCATGTACTTAAATATGTATAAATTAGACATCCACAACTGGTTACAATTATGTTGTTGCTTTTGGACAGAATTAGAACAGCTTACTTGCAATTTATTTTTTCAACAAAACAGCATTCGTACATGTTAAGATTTTATGGCACCATCAACAATCAAGTTATTGTATAGTGATTCACAGTTCAGCAAAAACAAAACGTTCAAGGCCAAAGCAGGAACCAGTTTGTTGTGCTTTCAGGCATTAGTGGTCCATTATGTAGCGAGAACCCCACAGGTCAGGATTATTTGAGTTTTGTGTTCCTTCGCAGTATGCTTTTCCTTCCTTCTGATCCACAGTCCAGTTAGAACACACCGTGCTTCTGCAGATACTACAGAGGGGGGAGATGATGTGACACTCGATGCATTTATTGCTTATTGGTTTTAAAAAGCTGACCTCCAACAGTTTCTAGCTGCTGGTTGTGATGGTGAAGCTCTGGTTGGATTTATGGTTGTGGTGCAGGAGACGCTCAGCTGTTAGTGTTTGAACCTATGGTGCTTTCGTGACATATTTACTTGCATGTGGTCAGTGTTAGTTATTAAAAACAAGGATGCACCGACTGAATGAGCTGTGCTATGATACGGTTTCAGCCTATAGACTGCTGCTGGTTCTGTCTACAGTGTCAGTTCAGTTTGCACAACTGCATTTGGAAAGAAAATTAGAGGAGCTGCTTCAACAGCTCCAGTATAACTGCAGCCAGGGGATTACATAGTTTAGATGATTTTCTTGGCATTTTTATGCCTTTACTTTATGTAGGGGAAGAGAGTAGTGGACAAAAATGCAGCAAATGTTCCCCAGTCTGGAATCTAACCAGGGACTTGCTGCTTCTTGCATTTGTGCCCATGTGGTATCAACCTTTACAAACTCTACTGTTGGGTCGCAACTGGAATGATTAGCTGTCAGTGTGGCTCCAGTCAATGGTACAATAAAGGCCATGACTTATTTTTTTGTAATAACAGTGACTACATGCAGCAAGTTTTGTTGTGTTAAAGCTGCTGTGTTCCTGGACCCCTGAATAAACTCACAGAAGTACCACAGGTTCAAACACAACACTAACAGCTGGACAGCCACAGCAGCAGCCCAAGTCCAATTAATGACCGTATATCCAGTCACAACTTCAACAACAACTGGAAACTAAGATTATAAAATGAATAATGAGCAATAAATGAAAAGTCACATCATCGCTGCTGTCTGTAGAATTTGCCGAGTGTTTGATCAGAAAGAATATAAAACATATTATGAGGACATAAATCAAAAAATTCTCACTGTGACCTTTGCGGGGCTTCGTCATTTATTAACACTCAATGATCTGCTTCTGGAAATACACTGTGTGAGCTGAAGAACAAAAGTGTCTTTATACTGCAGTGGAAACAACAGTCCTGCTAATGTAGAATTAATACTTACAAGAAAGTATTTGAAGCTATAGTTTGTGGATTTGTACTCAGCTATGCTACTTAGAACTCCCACATCATTTAGTCTGAGTTCATCATAAATTGAACAAACATTTCAACTCTGCCGCAGTTTTTTAAAAAAAACCGTCTGATACAATCATGGAACTGGCTGAAATGTTGCAGTCAGATAGCAGCATATACAACAGGAATCTTCAGAAGAAGTAAACACAAACCCTTAATGATCCCACATGGAAAACATCTTCCAGCACACACACACACTGCTGGTGCTTCTGTCCCTGCATAAACGACAGCAGCCACAGACAGACAGGCACGTTTCAGAACATACACCGCAGCCTCATTTATAGGAGTCCGTCACGTGATCATCAACACTGTTTGTCCGCTGACCGTCGTTCAAATAAATGCTTCGACAGAGTCTGTGACCTCGCTGCGTCTGCTGTGCAGCTTCATACTAGCAGCAGTGAAGAGGAACATCCTCTAACCTCGTCATCAAGCTGTAAAATCACAACTAGAGAGACTCCTCGTCAGATTCACTGTCTGTGTTGGGCTTCGTCAACAGCTCCAGTTCCTCGCCGTCCTACGACAGAAAACGCAAAGGGGACATGAGAGTGAATTTAAGTGGTGAAACCCAGCAGAAAAAAAAACCTGCAGACACTGATGTATTTTGCACAGCAACATCACAGAATCAGCACAGAGCTGTTTTCTGATCATGGTGGGAACTATTTACTGCCCCAAAAAACACAAGAGAGGAACATTTGAAAGCCACAGCTGGCTCAGTCTGGTCAGTTCAGACAGCTGTTGCTGCACCGTCTTACATTTTGTTCAGAATTTAGGTATTTAGGACCCCAAAACAAAAAAAATTTTTGCCTGAATTTTGAGAATTTCATATGTTTTCACTTATACACGCAAAAAAACGTCTTAGCTAGGAAGCTATTTTAGGGGTTCAGAATCTCCAGAAATATAACTCCCAACAGCATTGGAATTTGAACCCCTTTAAAAGGCTAAGAAAGTACAAAATTTTGAGGTTAAGGTGGTTTTGGGGCTCCAGGAAGTTCTTCTAAGTGTGTGTGCGTGTGCGTGTGTGTGTGTGTATGTGTGTGTATATATATATATGGGAAATATGGATCCATCCATATACTGGAAATACGGCCTTTGATTGACATTTCACCAACTTTTTAGGCCTCTTACTTCAGTAGAATTTGATTTGTGGAAACTCTGGCAGGACAAGCTTCTAGTTTGTTGCTATTTTGACAAGATGACATGGTGATGTGGACTCATTTGTAAGACCACAATGACTGGTGTGCAGAGGTGTCTACATGTTGTCATTATATGTGCAACGTTACAAGCTGCTTCCATGTTGCCTTCGTGTTGAAATTGATCAACATATGAGACTTATTTTGCCTTTATGAATGTTCCCATGCACATATGTGAAATGAAGACATGGAGACAACATGGAACTCCTTTGCACATCAGTTTTTCTAGTCTTCCAAATGAGTCCACATCACCATGCTGTCCAGTCAAAATAGCAAAAAGATGGGACTTTGACTTGCCATACTTGCCACACATCAAATTCTACTGATGTTACAGGCCTCAAAAGTTGGTGAAATGTCAACCAAAGACTGTATTTTAAGGAGAAATATGAGTACATCCATATATCTACACTTACAGGAACTTTCTGGAGCCCCAGTACCACCTTTGCTTTAAAATTTTTGCAATTTTTCCATTTGATTTAAAAATGTTGTCCTCTGCTGGAGCAATTCAATCATTTCTATCTGCTAGAAGCAATTCTATCTGTGTCCTCAGCAAATTTCATGGCTGTGGGACTGAATCCTTTTGGGTTTGTCACATAAGATGTTTTTTGAGGGTGAAAATTCTCCTTTTTGAACTTCTTCAAAATATTCACTGAACTTTATTTAGGGTCTTAAATAACAATCAGTAAACTTTGAAGAAATATCTGAGAAGGTGCAGCAACACCACTGTCTGAAGTGTTGTGGACTGATCCAGTTGCTAATTTATTTTTGTTGGTTTTCCACCAGAGAAATAAAGAATACATCTGAAAACTGGTATCTCACATGCAACAGAGGTTTTCCTGAGACAGTGCCGTCATGAGGCTCCTGCACTGTTTAACAGCTTTCAGAATTCACCAGACTACTAATGGAACCATGTGGGGTTTGGCTCCAGCACGAGTCTGGATGCTGTTTTCATAGCAGAGAATCAGGTTTCCTCTTGCATTGAAGAAATCACATTATAGAGAAACGAGAGCCAAGTTTCCTACAGAGCGCCTGGTATGTGCGTGGGAGGACAGGAAGTGGGTATACGTTGGGGTGAGGAGTGTGTGCTGGAGATATGTGGTTTGCTTCCTACCCCTTGGGATCGTTCAAACACCTCTCCGTTGATGACCCGCAGCTTTTCCTGCTGCAGCGTGTACTCCAGGTCTTTGGGCCGGCTGGCGTTGTAGATAAAGATGGCCAGCAGGACCATGGGAGCCTGGAGGAAGAAGTCCAGCGAAGGGTGGAAGTTGAAAAGGAAGAGGGAAAGGCCGGTGACCAGAACAGTGGTGATCTGGCCTGTCAGCACGTGGAACATGTTGTCTCTGAATTTTAGGATGAAGGCCACAGATAAACCCAGAGCAGCTGAGGAGAGGACAGATCACAGTGAGTTCTTCATATTTCTCAGTCGATTTTTTTATATATATATTTTTCGGCTTTTGCCTTTATAGACAGGAACGGGGGGAGAAGAATGGGGAGAGACCTGCAGCAAAGGGTCGTGAGTGGGAGTCGAATCCACGACCACTGAGTCAGGGAACTACAGCCCCTGTTTATGGGTCGCCCACTCAACCAGGTAAGCTGTAGGGGCTAGAGACAGAACTGTGGTACCTACTGGCTGCCCTTACAATACAAAAAACAGCAGGTATTTTCAAAAGCTTCACCTGACATTTTCCTGCCGTGTGACCACTTGTATCCAGACAAATCACAGCATTCAGCAGCATTTTGTCATATTACTGGGTCATTCCACCTCAATTCTCCAAATTTTATTAAAAGGTCATGCCTGACCATCTTCAGTTAAAGATTTTATGGCCGGTGGAATATCACAGTTGACAGGACCATGGACATGTTTTGACCAAATTTGTATCATCATGTAACTGGTTTGTATTATTCTATCAAAGCAGGCTTGTACCATTGAAGACCAGATATTCACATCAACAAGTCTGCAAATTTTCAGGATTCAGGAATTTCAGACGGAAAGATGCAAAAATGAACAAGACCCCCTGAAATATTAAGGTTAAGAACCTGCAATACTATTCAGTATGCAGAACAACTTCATTTAAAAAAAATAATACAATGACATATATTATACAAATTTACTGAACTCGTTTAAATGTTAAGGTTAAGAACCTACAATGCACTACACCAAATAAACTAATTTTAACATTAAAGTGAAGACACCACAATATTACATGTTATACAGACCAGTATTAAAATTACCAATAAAAACGATGATTAAAATTACTTAAAAAGAAGTTAAGGCCTTAAAATATTATGTATCATACAAATTGACCAGACTAACTCAAAAGGTTAGAACCCTTCAATGTCATTATACAAATTTAACCAAATGATTAAAATATTAAGGTTATAAACATACAGTATTATCCACTACACCAAATTACGTAAGTAATTTAAAAAATGAATACAACAAGATAATTTATAATATAAATTTATGGAACTAACTTAACTGTTCAGGTTAAGACTCTAAAATATTATATATTATAAAAATGTACCAGATGAACTTAAACAGTAAGGTTAGGACCCTATAATATTATTATACAAATTAATCCAAATAATTAATATATTAAGGTTAAGAACCTGCAATAACATCTACTACACTAAAATACCTGAGTAATTTATCAACTAATACGACATATTTAAATTTTACACAAATTTACAAAACTACTTTCATCATTAAGGTCAAGACCTCACAATAGTTTTTAGATTGTTACAAATTACTTGAGTAATTTAAGATTCTACAAAATAATACAGAGAAATCTGATTACTATGAGCAAACTAATGTAAATAGTCTTTTAAAAGCCATGATCATTGTGTTTTCTGACAGAACAGTTCAGTGAAGAGGGTTTTCTAACAGCAGCTGTTTTCCTGTTTCCAGTTTCAGTGCTACATTAAGCTCAGTGTCTCCTGGCTGTAGATTTTTAACAGACACATGGGAAAGTGACGTACATTTTCTTAGCAAGACAGCAGACAACTTGTCATTTATCAACCAGTTTTCGTCATTTACTCACCGGTGACCAGCACCAGACCCAAGGAGTACATGTTGTGTCCATGCAACAGGCCACAGTGCATGGTGAGGCCTCGAGCCTCGCTGCCGAGCCCGAGGGTCAGACCGTTAAACACCACACCGAAAGCATATCTATAAATGAAACACATGCAGCAAAGCATGGAGATCAGAATCAAAGTCAGACGTTGTGCTAAAATGGTTTCTCCACAAGCTGATGCTCACAGTTTGCTGTTCTGTATGAAGATGCTCTCGGTGAGCTGGTCTCCGTCTTTGAGGATCTTCTCATTGTAGATGTTGGCCATGGCCGAGATAAAGCACTGCAGGAGGAGCAGGATGTGACCGATTCCGAGAGATCGAAGCTTCTTGACCACCCGGTCCCTCCAGGCCTGACCGGGCAGCGATGACACCCAGGACTCACTGGCGCTGTAAGAGAGCAATGGCATCAAAATCAAAATCAAAATGTGACTAATAAGTACACAAGTGTATTTAAAAGGCTACATAATGGGTGGTGGCTGGTTAGGATGTTTTATTTTTTTTTTATTAGCAATTCTAATTATTTATATAATCTTTCCAATTAAAAAACTGGTTGTTAAATGAGTTGAGTTTAAATATTACAGTTGGCCTTTAGGGGGCAACGGCACACAACACTGAGGCTATGTTACCTTATTTGACTGATATCTATGTAGTTTCCTGTTATTTCTGACTGTTTAATAAACAAAAATGTCTCCCTTGAGACTTGTTTCCCTTGAGCAAATGAAAACCCATTCAAGCTCTTGTCATTTTGGTACCAGCTGAAACCTCTTTGAGGTGACTAAGGCCTCTGTTATACTTTCTATGGCAATGTACCTACATAAAGGTTAAGAACATACACTGTCGCCTATAAAGTTGGAATATATTTTATTTTCAGACACATTCCTGCAAGCGTGCAATGATTACATACTGAGTCCCTGTTACCAGGTGAAACCAATTCTGACTTCTGGATCTGACCGACGTCCTGCCCATTGACACCATCAACAAGCTAGTGGACAGTATGCCACCATGTCTTAACACATTGATCCATGTCTGGGGTGGCCATACTCAATATTTGTGACTGAGTGACATTTGAAAGAGTGACATTGGACATCCTAATGCATGAAATCCCCTCGAATATGTGTTTCCTGTTAAAGTGACCAAGGTTGAAAAATTGAAACAAAACCCTAAATCCTATTGTTCAATACCCCAAATTTAGTTTAAGCCTGAATACACAGTTTGCTGAAGTTAATTGTTGTTAAATTTATTCATGCATTGCATTTATATTGTGATATCAATAAAGTTTTGAGAAGATATACACTTTATCTATCAAGAATAAACTGCATTGTCAGAATCATTTCATGAGAAGATGTCAAAAAAAATATTTTATTCCAACTTTATGGGCAACAGTGTACTATATAAATGTACCTGGCTACATATTAACATGAACACCCTAAAGTATGATGGACTATACAAATTACCTAACTAATATAAATATTAAGGTTAAGACCCAACAATATCATACAGACAGACCCTACAAAACCATACAGAGAAACCCGCATAACTTATAATACTGTAGTGGTAGCATCACTATTGCATTACATCATAGAATAATTTTTTATTTATCCCCCATTGGGGGAAATTTACAATCATAACAATAGTAACAATACAAAAAATAACTCTGCAGGGTTTCACCAAATATGTATTACAGTCAAGTAAAGTAGTATTTTCTTTTATAACTTTTGTGCGGTTTGATCCCTACTGTGTAAATTACTTTGCTACAGCCACACCTTAGAAAACACTAGAGTCTTGGCTGCAGTGTTTGGTTACTTTCACAATGCCGTTCATAATTCATTTTACTTGAGGGCACTTTAACGCAGCGGCTGTTGTGTTAGATGCTCTTAGATAAAAAAAAATGTTGTCTTGACTTGAAGTAGGTATTTTATCTTGTTTTTGTTGCCTGCCTCTCATTCATTTGCTGAATTGGTTCTCTAATGTGACATTTGTTTTACTGTAAAGCACTTTTCAACAGCGTTTTCGAAAAGTGCTATACATTACATTTGTTGTTGTTGTTGTTGTTATGTGGCCCATGAATTGGCCTTAAAAAAATTGCATGCAATAAAAAAAATCTAATAATTTTATCATCAACAGTAAAAAAAAAAAAAAAAACTTAATTACTTCTAATTAATTATCACAGATGTGACAAATATCAATGTCCGTTCATATTTTCAATTGTGCCTATAATAAATAAACCAATTCTTTCACTGACAGGCTACATCCTCTCATGCTATAATTGTGGAACTGAATAATAATAAAGTTATTTGAAAGGCGCACAGCCTAAAAAGTCGACTCTGTGAAGCAAACATTTCTCTGCAGCCCCTGAAATCATTGAATCGTGATTAAAACTACATAACACACATATGGAGGCTGCAGATATTTCGTCCTACATATTAAGTGCCTCTTTGCTAAATTTTCCTACTTCATTTTTCGCCCACTGTTGCATTCATCACATTACCTGCTGTTCTTCATCTGCTCCAGAGTGTACAGCAGGCAGGAGTTGGAGGGGGTGGACAGGGGGTTTGCGTGGAGACCCGGCACAGCGATGGAGTTTTGGCTGCCTCCTGATCCTGTCGTCAAGGAAACAATGGACAGGAAGAGGATAACTAACGCTGCCCACTGAACCCATGACAGGCGCCTCCTGGAAGAGACAAAAATTGTATTTATTACTACATAATGTAGGACGTTCAGAATTTCCTAGTAAGGTCATGCACGGTGTCTAATGTGATAAAACGGTGCAGCAACTTGGAGAATTTCACTCAATTTTATTTGAAGCTAGTTATTTTCAGAAAAAGAAAGACGTCTGTTCTCCAGAGACTGCACAAAAAGGGAAAAGAGGGCATGGAAAGCAGCAGCATAAAAAAAAAAACAAACGAGATAGGGTTTGTCAACATTATGCACAGACATATCACCTTCTCAGTCTACAAAAACAGACACGTTGTGCTTTCAGAGACGAGAACGCCACAGTTTTTTCACGAGCCACTTACTTAAGAACAATTCTGAAGAGTACAGCTGTGGTCAGGATGACGAAGTTGGAAAACAACACTGCCATGGCCTGGAACAAGAGGAAGAACAACAGGCTTAAAAAACAGCTAAGAAATAGCACCTGTACATACACAAGGGTATTAAACAGTACGCTTGGGGAGGACAGTTTGTAAAACTAGTTTGATAGAAGCTAAAATCCAAGGTTTGTGTGTTATTGGAGGTTGAATAATTGGATTTTTTTTTCCTCCAGAAGTTTCAACGTAAAGTTTCAAAACTCACAGGCTGCAGGTAGGTCATCACATAGAAGATGATGAGGTTGTCAAGGAAGTAGAGGAAAGCAGGGATGGCCCACTTCAGGGAGCTGAGGAAGGACAAGCTGGAGGCACAACCCAGCTCTCTGCATGATCTGCCCTCTGAAGGAGCACAGAAAGAACAAATCAACAAACTTTACGATCACACAAACAAGATTTATACAGACATGAGTGCTGGTTGAGGCTTATCCTGGTTTTGCTCACATGAGGGCAATGATAAAGCTGCCTGTGAGGTTTACAAAATCACACAAATGGGCCATGTTGAAATCATAAAATCGGACTTTCCTGTAACCTTAAGTTAATTGAAATGGAGACAACTTGTGGCAAAAGTGAGTTAATCACTGTTGACCTCCATGTTATAAACCAGGGGTCTCCAATCCTGGTCCTCGAGAGCCACAGTCCTGCATGTTTTAGATGTTTCCCTCTTCCAACACACCTGATTCAAATGATGAGGATCGTTATCAGGCTTCTGCAGAGCTTGATGATGAGCTGATCATTTGAACAGCCTGGCACAAAAAGCAGTTTTGGCCCCTACAGCCACATAATTTTCCCATTCGTGACAACTGCACATTTGCGCCTCTCACTACCAGGATAAGAGTATTTAAAATCAGGATGACCCTTACACGAAGAGACCTGATCATAGTGAAAACACTCACATCCATGTACAGACACTGACAGCTTCAATATTTACCTCTGACTATGACTCTAACTGACATAACCAGACAGAAGAGCAGTTTGAGGGCCTCAGCAAGCAGATTGACAGATGCAGGGAGGAAGTCATACTTGTTTTCTGGAAACAGAACAAAAGCAAAGAGACACAGTTAACAAGCTGCCAACACTGCTGTCAAATCTATTTATCTCTCTGTGGAGAAAGTCACATTTGTTTCATTGTCGAGTCACTTACCAGCATTGGCAGAAAACTTGAGCAGCAGGATGCGACTGGTCCCCAGGGTTACAAAGCCCAGGCCGAGGGCCAGAGTGTAGGCCGAGGAGCGGGAGCAGAGTCTGGGGCACGAGTGGCAGCACGCCATTGCTGGGACTGGAACTGGATGCAGTCAAACCGGCTAGGCTACATTAAATCCACAAACAAGCACAGTGCTGGTATCAGACTGGTCCTCACTCGCCGTAATGCAAATGAAATGGTAAGACTAGTGTACAGCTTCACTAAGAAACCTGACAGGACATGCAAATCACAAAAAACTGATGGTGCAGAAAGTATATTGTAAAACAAAGCCTTGAAAACAACACTGCAACGTCAAGTGACGCAAAATCACTTGGACTATGTTGTACGAACTGTGCAGAGAAATGTATTGGGTATTTTACAACTTCACTGTCGGCTGAACTTCTCATGTAAGGGCTCCTCTGTGAAAAAGCTAATCAGGAGCGATAAGTGTTTGAAAAAGCTCCTATCTTGGCATAGTTTTTGTTCTGTCCTCTCTGTTTGTATTTCTGGCTCTGGAGCTGCATGTTTCTGATCTGCAGTTACTGACTCCATCAAACAACTTAGTGTTTATTGTCTGTATTTCAATGCTCATCTTTTCTTTCTGGCCGTCCTCCCCAAGTCTGTTTCTATCAGAGGTTAAAAAGGAGGTTTTCCTCCCCACTGTTATGTTTTTTCTGTATAATATTGTAAAGCCTTGGCACTTGATAAATAAGATGGAATTTAATTTAATTTAATTATTGTAATGAGCATCCCACAAACTACTCACATGACTGTTGTGTCCTAGTTTGACTTCTCTCCGTTTTTTTTTTCTTTTTCTTTAAACAACTATTGTCAAACATGTGACGGCCATAAACTGTAGAAACAACCAGGAACATGCACTAGAGCATTTTGGTAAGATTTTCAAGTCAGACTCTAAAGACAATCAGACAACACAAAGCTTTAGCTGCAACAACTAGTGGATTAGTTAATTAGTCCTTTAACAGAAAATGATTCAGCAGTTATTTTTTTTGATTAACTGCTTTAGCCATTTTAATTAAACAAATACCAAACATTGCTACCTTATGAAATGTGAGAATGTGATGCATTTTTTGTCATGCATGGCATAAAATGATACATATGTTTGGAATACTGGATTGCTAGTTGAATAAAACAGAGACTGTCGTCCTAATGTGTAACAGAAAATTTCCACAACTTATCAAAACAGAAGTTTGCCTCATAGACCATCATTTACTATGATTTAACAGCTCTTGGATACACTGAGTTGTTATTTTTTTCTACCTATTTAAAAGACATGGAAGTTGCTGGCATACAGGCTCCAAATGTGCAAATGAGCAAGGAACAGGAGAGAAACACTGAAAAAAAGGATGGGGTTGCAAAAAGAATCCTAATGTCAGCTGTCTGGAAATATTTCAGCTACAGATAGGTTGACGATGACCAAAAACAAGGACTCTGTCAGCAATACCTTGCAACCATTGTCAATAAATACACAACTAATTTCTTTGACCATGTAAATCAGCATCACGGAGCTCAGTGTGACGAGAGCAAAGACAGGTCTGAATGCCATTTGAAGCTGAAAACTAATTTGGATGTCTGTGTTACGCCATATGAGAAAGGTTCCAAACAGCTTTTTAAAAAAATATTATTTTCTATACAGATGCACTCTCCTGCAAAATCACCCCTGATTTTAAAATGATTGACTCTTTCCAAGTAGTTGTTCAAGTCAGCTGGTCAAGATTTCTACATTTCTTTCAAAGTGCATAAAAACTAAATATTGCTATGTGCTTTTTTTCCCTTATTGGGCAGCTGTACACTGACACTGATCTACCTGCCAAGTAACTTCAAACACTGAGAACCAAAGAGAACTTGTGCTTCCTTAGTTTTTATCTATTTAGTGTACACTGTATAAAGATCACAGATAAATAAAAACACTTTGAGACGTTTATTATTTTATTTAATGGGCCTTACACTAAATGGATTTGGTGTTTGGACTGTTTATTAGATAAAACATGCTGCTTAAAAGCTTCTCCTTTGCTCTGAGAGGTTGTAGCAGGCACTTCTCCCTATTATCTGACACTTTACAAACTAACCAACTAATACAACAAACAAAGAGTGTTGAATCGATCACTTTTAGCCACCTGCAGCCATTGTGGTAAGATCATCCCCTCTGGCGATGTTCTAAAATATTTACAATTCTCACCAACGAAGTCCAGAAGTTAATGTTTGTCTACTTACACACAGAATTTAAGACGACACTCATAAATAGATGAGCTAAGAGCTAATTTAGCATCATTAGCATCACAACCGTCATGTTTCTGCAAATACACGCGTCCAGTAAAAGCAACACGCGGGTCCTTTTAAATATTCAGAGGCAAAGTTCCGACGACACCCCCAAAAAGATGTAAAATATAAGACACTTTTAGAAAAACTGACCTGTTATTGTCTTCTTTCACAAGACATGACTGATGCATCGTATTCCGTCAACAACAGCTGCTTCCTGGTTAGTTTGCGCATGCGTACTGGTACAGTTGGCGTCTTGACGTCATCACACACTGCGTACATTTTTATCAGATTTCAGATTTTTCTTTATTGAGCAATTCATTAAAAACTAATTAAATAAAAACATGCTTAAAAAGATGACAGAGAGCAAGAAGGTGAGGACAAGATAAACAGGCAAAACTAAGATCAGAGAAAAATAAATACATAAATTCATTAATTAACTTAAATTTAAGGCAAATCAATACACAGTTATTTATCTGGCACATTTCAAACAACAGATGTCAAGCTTTCCTAGTGCTTTTTAAAAGAGAAAGATTACTAACAAGCCTAAATATGAGGATTAAAATATTATAAATAATATAATATAACTTGATCGACTTTAAAATGACAGTGGAGACTCTACAATACTATCTATATATAATGCTAATTAACCTGATTAATCTAAATCTAACCCTTTGTTGTGGAACAATTAAGACTACTGGGGAAAAATATCCAAAATTCACATTCAGGTGTTTATTTTACTACAGTTTGTTCATTTGCAGTTTTAACCATAACATTTTAGAAAAGTTTAAATACAAACAACGTTTGCCTTAATGTAAGTGATGAACTGGGGAAGCTTCATGTTGATATCTGTTAGTTAAAAATTTTACCCAGAAATAAATCTATTCAATTCCATTTTTTTTTGTATAGTGCCAGTTCACAGCATACGTCATCTCACAGCACTTCACATAGTAAGGTGAAGACCTTACAAATTTTAAGCAAACAACAGAGAACCCAACAATCCAGGGGTGCCTTTGGGTTCCCTATGAGCCAGCTGTCTGCGGCAGTGGGAAGGATAGTGGTCTCTAATACATTTAATACATGTAAAACATATCTTCAAAGTTTCCAAAGATGATTTGTTTTTCTCACACTCCAAGCCAGAAATATCCATTTGGCAGCACCTACATGAACCAAACTGTCACCTTTTATTCCTCTCTACATTCTGAAGCTTTCTGCAAAGCAGTTTGTTAACATCACCTACAACCTGATTTATAGAACATTATCTTCCTGAAACAAATAGTAAAGATGGATTTTCCTCTGTCTGCTGACAGTATTTGATGATTTATGGAGTAATAAAAAAGAGACATCAAAAATCCTCTCTCTGCTACACCAATAAAATGGAACCAAAGTTCAGATTTCTGGTCTGGAAATTCATATAAATTTGGACATTTTTATATACAGAACCAGTCAAAAGTTTGGACACAGCCTCTCATTCAATGCCTTTTATTTATTTTAATTATTTTCTACGTTATAGATTAATACTGAAGACATCAAAACTATGAAAGAACACATATGGAATTATGTAGTAAACAAAAAAGTGTTGAACAAATCAGAATAGGTTTCATATTTTAGATTCTTCAGAATAGCCCCCTTTTGCTTTGATGACAGCTTTGCACACTCTTGGCGTTCTCTCAATCAGCTTCATGAGGTCGTCTCTTGGAATGGTTTTCCAACAGTCTCCAGGCTGGTAACTCTAATGAACTTATCCTGCGGCAGAGCTAACTGTTGGTTTTCCTTTCCTGAGGCGGTCCTCATCCAAGCGTTTGATGGTTTTTGCGACTGCGCTTGAGGACACAGGGCTCCAGACTAACTTTATCACTGGTAGCACTTTGTTGTTTAGTCGCACCTCGTACCTGGTCACAGATGACACACATCGCTTGCTGAACATCTGCTTATCGACAGATATTACATTTTACAGATTGCAGGCTGTGGTGGCTGCTGCTTGGTGGCTGCAGTGCTCAGACAGGCGTGTGACAGAAAAACACTTTGAAAATAGTTAAACTGGGGCATTCTAGTGTCAGATTTGTCCGAGATGAAACCAAGTGATTTTTCCACAATGCACATGCAGGGGCATTGTTCCACACATAGAAAACAGTCAGCGCAAGTGTGCTCCACCTTCTTAAGCGTAAATGCCAAAGTCCACCAAAGTTCTAAAAGCACTACTCTCCACCTCTGTGGTGAACACAGTAGCTGCCTGTACCAGTTACAGTGACACTAGAACAGCTTCATGATCATCAGTCAATTCAATTCAATTCAATTTTATTTGTATAGTGCCAGTTCACAAC